GGGCCTGGTGGATAAATAGCTAGGCGGCCCGCCTGGAAAAGATCCATGGTCTTTTCCCCATGCAGCCTTGTTTCCAGGCAAATGTACTATCGATTAATATGCCATTGAATTTATTGCTTGCATCTTTCAAAATTGGTCAACACCAGGAAAAAGACGAAATTGAACGAAGAGAGTATTATCACGTGACCTACATAGGGAAAACAGAACCATCAATCAAATAAGGTCTATTCGAATATCACCTTCTGTAGATTCCAGGCTATCACTCTTCTCAAAAGTGAGCTGCTTTTATAATCACACTGAGCTTTTTGCTTGTCCTGTTTTATAGTCTTCATATCAGTTTCCTTCATCGAAACAGAACCAGCAACAGTATGACAAGGTATGTTGTTCATGTGCTAATAATTTTCTCTCAGGACTTTGGAAAACTCTGAAAATTCCCTCTCTTTGTTTGCCTATTCCTTTATAATTTCATTGAGTGACGTTAATAAAAATAACAATTATTTACCCTATTTATTCGAAAAAGCGCCGCAATTGGGAGAAAGAAGCGGCGGCGCTTATGGGAGTAAATACGTTATTTCTTCTCGAGCGCTATTTACAAGTGTAGATCAATTTTCATATTTTGTAGTCGGGAAAATTTCGTCCATTTCAGTATCTCAATATCTTGGACCTCTTTTAGACTTGATCAACGTTAAAACAGGCAGATGCCTGTGAAAGAAACATCTGACATCAATATTTTTGAGACTTTTTATTTTTTCCTAAATGATATTCCAAATAGAAATATACCTAGTATGTTTTTCCTACTCCCAGTTACAATGTAACTCTTCCATCCAAAGATCATTTTGCATTGGAGAAACATTTTTCGGGAGGGGAAGAAGGGTCATTCTTGTTAGAGAACTCGGTAACTGCAGTTACTGAATTCTGCCGATTAGGATCCTTTTTAATTAAAATATCATAGAGACTTGGAAAAACTTTGTGCATTTTTTAATGTTGGTGAATAATTTTGCTTTTTCAGTTCTCCAAGCTATATGAACTTTCTGATGAACCAGAAAGGAAGGAATTCCTTGATAAGTATCAGGAATTCATGAATAGTCAAGGTAACTTGGAAAGAGATCTTTAGAAAGCGTGCAGGAAAATGTATAGTTGATGTCCTGGTTTGTCCGTCTTTACAGGAACATCCTAGGAGGCCCAGGGGCGGTCAGTCGGGTCGGGATAAAGGGCGGCGAAAGTTTTGAAGAACGGGAAAGAGAGCCCCTGGGGTGCTGCTATTAAAGAACCAGTTCCACGACTCAATCGAGTGCTTGTCTCTGATTGGGCTCAAAAATTGGAAGTCAGCATCTATCGCGCTGCTTTCGTGATCTTCTTATAGGAAGGAGTTAACTTGCAAACTCGACTTTTCGCCGTACCTGTCTGGCTCGTGCAGGAGAGCTTTCAAAACTGGACAGAGACAAAACGATTTCCTCGTAATATAACTCTACGTACCGATTCAGGTCATTAAAAGTTAAAACATTTGCGCGCGAAATCTCTGCCTACTCGGCACACTTGTCAGTCACGTGCAGGAGAAAATTCTTCGCCCTAGTTTGTAGGTTTGTACTTAAATATTTCTCTTCAGTGACACAAGAGGATCGAACGAAACTGGTAGACTAAACTTGCGGAGTTGCATGCACAAACCTAGAAGTACACTGGTGTTTAAGAATACCTTCGATCAGTCCACAGTCTGATTTCTTCGGGTTTGTGCATTTTTGATTTAATTAGATTGTCATTTATTATGCATGCAACAATTTCCTTCTTTTTCTCACCAGTAGTTAACATGAATAGAGTCGGAACATTTATGCATAATAAATGTTTCGGGTTATACGGAAATCTTACCTTTCGTTTTGTTTTGCTAACATGCTAAATTATGGGATATCTTTGATTTTGTGGCCCCCATTTTCTTTGAAAACTCTTCTGTACAACCCAGACATGTACGGCGATCTTCGACGAACAGTCAACTTTGCAGGTAAACTCCTTCGTATAAGAAGTTCACGACAGTGGCGCGATAGATGCTTGTCTTTGATTTGGCACAAAAAATCAAGCAGAGTCAAGCATTCGAATGAGTCGTGGAACTGGTTTTTTAAGAGTAGCATCCCAGGGGCTCTCTCAACCGTCCTTGAAAACGTTCGCCCCCGTTTTTCCCAGCCCAACTGACTTCCTTTGGGTCTCCGAAGATATAACAGGAATAGTCAGCATAGGAAAGAAGGCGTTTTTTTTTACTGTGGGCTGCCCAGTAACTTAAACATTTCATCCACAGATCTACAGTGATATCTGGCCATTCAGCCAAGTGTTTGAAGTGTTTTCTACAAATTTTTGACAACTCTAATGGAATTTTTTATGATGCAGTATCAATCAAAGAGTCCCGCGATGTGATTTTCACGTTACTCTTCTTTTTGAAAGATTTTCAATTTAGCTCTTGGAGCTGTACGACCCCGACTTCAAACATCTCGGATTTGGATTGGTTCTGCATTATGTGAAATCCAAGTTTTTTAGAGCACTTGTTAAATAGTCGTCGAAAATCTCGGTCATCACTGTGAATGTTAGTACTTTCTTCTGCGGTATGACAAGAAAAGTTGATTGTTTTGGTTTTGTGTTGTGTTCAGTGAAAATCTCGATTGCATGGGAAATATTTTTCAACTATTTTCTGTTTTTATAGGCACGCAGATTAGCCAAGTTCCTGTGGTGGCAAGGCAACCTCTTGATCTCTTCAAGTTTTTTGCTGTAGTCCGAGATAGAGGCGGTTTACAAGAAGTGAGTTTATTTAATAAAAACTCACCCCGCTGCGGCTAGCTACCTGTTTCACGCCCTTTCAACCAGCTGCATGTTTTCACGAAGTTTTTCCGCGTTTCCTTTCCCGCGCTTGCGACTAGTAACAAGTTGTCCGCGTTAGGTACAGGCAAAATGTTTTCCCGCGCTTGGGACAACTTGGACTGCCAGACTGGTTACATATTTTCCCTCCTTGCGGACTGGTTACATGGGGTGCTTACCATTTACACAAACTACTTGGGTGGAAATCTTGTACATAAACATAAAACCATAAAATTTGACGTGTTGGGAGAGGAACCCGTAACAAAGTTTGTCCAAATCAGCTGTACAAACTAAAAAAAGGAGAGAAATTGAATCGCTTCAAATCACAACCCGTATTTTCTGAAGCTTCCTATTCGGAATAGTCTTCAACGCATATGTTCTTAGTGGTTCGTCACGCGTTCCTGACTTCGTTCCTTGTGGGGTAGGAACGCGTAACGAACCCCTAGAAGAGTCTGCGTGGGACGCTACAAACCGAATGGCACTAATCATTCAATTTTTCAACCGGAATTTCCGGTTTTTGCATGTAAATAGTGAGTACCCATGTTTTCCCGCGCGACGCTGGGACTGGTTACAAGTTTTCCCGCTTGGGACTTGTGAGTGGTGACGTGATTTCCCTCGCTGCGGGCTGGTAACTTGTTTTCCCGTACTCACTTGCAACCGTTGTTCTTCTTAGGTCGTGAGAAGAAAGCTATGGCAGGATGTCTTAGAGGCCTTAAACCTCCCTATGGATAATCCCAGTATAGTGAATAACCTTCGCAACCAGTATTCACGATACCTGCTCTCTTTTGAAATGAAACATACCAAGCAAAACTCCATTGATGACATAAAGATTAACCTTTTGGAAAATTCAGGCATTCCTCCTCCAAATGCTACTGTTACATGTTCGGAGGCAATTATACCCACAAACAGTCTTACACAAAGCNGTGAGAAGAAAGCTATGGCAGGATGTCTTAGAGGCCTTAAACCTCCCTATGGATAATCCCAGTATAGTGAATAACCTTCGCAACCAGTATTCACGATACCTGCTCTCTTTTGAAATGAAACATACCAAGCAAAACTCCATTGATGACATAAAGATTAGCCTTTTGGAAAATTCAGGCATTCCGCCTCCAAATGCTACTGTTACATGTTCGGAGGCAATTATACCCACAAACAGTCTTACACAAAGCCAGCGGGAAACTTCCTCCATTCACGGATCCTACAACTCAATGACAAACGAATCTCCTGTCGGTCTGCCTCCCAGCTACAACGCTAGGGATAGCTATGCGGAATCTAGCTACGAAAATAGCAGTAAAAGTTTTCCTGACCTTAGAGACAGTTCTCTTAATTTTCAAATGAAACAACCGACTCCTCCCAATTCATTTGGAGTACCTCCGTATCCGTACTCTGGGGATAGGAGACAGAGCTTATCCAATCAACCCCAGGCAGGGCTTCCTCCGTACATGTTGTCGCAACGTAATATGTATCCGGGACCCCCTTCCATGTCGCCGTACTTTCAACAGTCGACTTCACAATCAGGGCATCCAGCGGCTAACTATCCACATTCGCAGTACCCTCAACGGGCAAGTCCCTCATTGATGGGGGCGCTCTCGTCGTCGCATTCCATGATGCCCAGTGCAAGCCCACAGGATAAGATGCATGTTGCATTGTGGGGCTCTCAGTATAGCCCTTCAACAGAACCAGAGCACATTGTTGATTACCCTCCCGGGGCACACAGTGGGCGAGCTCCTCGTTCATCAAGCGGTCTGCCGCCCCAGTTCTCCCCAGCACCTCCCTATGGCTCATACCCAGGCCGTCAACAAAGCCAATATTCCGCCGCCACTCCGCCATATCGTCCCAGTCCCTCGCCGTCACCATCGTCCCGGCAACCATTGGCGCAGTCACTACAGGCTTCGCAGAAGATGAAGTATCCTCACCAACAAGCAACGCAGCAACAGCAGCAGCAGTCACAGCAAGCTGTAAAGAGGGATATGCCCTTTCCTAATGACTGCGTTGAGGCCACAAGGCCTGTCTTTACCAAGAAACGCAAGCTTACGTCTAGAGACTTAGGTATGTTTGGCAATTTTTTGTTTGACAATACTTGAAACAAAAACGAAATAGAAGAAAGAAAAATTCTTTTTACACAGATGAGTCCTTTAAAGGTGCTGTCCAATGTTAAAATCCATCCAAAGCAATTTATGTTAACATGAACGTGTTACCCTGTGTCCACGCGAGTCCGTTAAAGCATTTTTGAAAAAGAAAGAAAAACAGCCTCCAAACACT